AATCAGCCCAAGTATCACCGATCTCTTCGCCAAACGCAAACGTTGGTTCTCTGGCGATTTGAAGCTCAACGTATTCCGCATAATTGCGTAATGCATTTCTAGCTTCGATGATTGTCATCCCACGTAATCTGCGACCACAGACTCGGACGATCTCATCGCCGATTCGAAACAATTTAGATTTGGCTGCTTCACCGTTGGAATCTAATTTCGATATTATGTAAAACGGTCTAACTGCTTCTCGTCTTTCTAAAGAGATACCAAGATTGCCTGATCTTTCAACGCTGAGTTTCATAGTCTTTAATTCTCGACGTACTAAAGTAGACTTGGATGGTGTTGAAGTTATCATCGTTGTTCGAGGATTATCAGCGAAAATAGTTTTTTTCACTTTGTTGATTCTATTGATAGATTCCTCTGATGATACTTCAGCTTCCAAAGCAGAACGAGATCTTTTAGGAGTATAATATTCAACCGAATAATTCATTAACATTGTCGTTGAAAATCTTCTGAGCTTGTTGGACTATCTTTGCAAGGAGACGAAGCATTGTCAACGAGAGTTAACACGCTGGCACTACCATATTTATGATTCCTTAAAAAAGTCATTGATTTCGTTTGTATCAATGTACTTGGAACAATTTTATTCGTCTAAAAAACAGTACCAACTTTCTTCGTAATTGTTATTGGGAATATTTTCAAATATTGACTCGATTCTATCTTAGAAACATTTCTAATTGAATTATTTAAAAATTCTGATTTAGTGCATTGCTCGTAATCATTGAAAGTACTTTCGTCGCAACTATCGGTGTCATCATCATCATCATATTCCGACATGACTACCGTCGATTCAATTTTCATTGAATTGCTCAAAAAATGATGTGCCTCTACGACGGTGTTATCATTAACATTTTCGGAATCCTCGCAACTTGTTTTTGAAAGTTCAGCGTGGTCAATGATCGGCGACAAAGACAGATCTATACCTTGATAATCATCGGAAGTTATAGAATAGCTACGAGGCTTAGTCATTCTTCGAATACATTGTTCACTGTCAGGAGAATCAGCACCTGTTCGTGTGCTATCGGAATCGTAACCACTCTYATCGCATCCTAGACGAAGATTATTCATAAGATCCTCCAAACCGGTTAAAAGGCAAGATCTTGTTTGATCGTTTCTAAAACTGATATTACAAATAAATCATTGTAGAAATAGTTATAAAAATCTAAATATCAATTTAAAATAATAATCTTACCTATCGCGTTCATGAATGTTAATAAAATGATTCCTATTTTCGGTTCGACTAGATGTATTATTAGTTTTCACGTTGACCTTAGACATCGATGAAGAACATTCCGATATATTCTTTAAATTACTAACCTTCTCTAACTTATTCAAAGTCTTCTTTACCAATGCTGTACCCTCTTGAGTCTTTAACACCTGCTGATTCATAAGAATAAAGTCGATGACACGTTCCTGTTCCTGAAGATCCTGAATACTATGACTTAATTGTCGTTGCTTTTCGTATAGGAAAGTCTCCCTTAATTGTTCATCGCTATTATTATTATTATTATTACTATTATTATTCAGGGACTTTAATTGAAACGCAGATATGTTTTTAATAGCACCATCGCTTAAAGCTTTCTCCATAGAATGATGGCTCTCCTCCTGAATCGTAACGTTTCTCGACGTTGAATTCGAACTTAAGAAATTACTTCTCTCCGTTGAGCGAAATAAATTTTTCAACGATTCCACTCTGGAAACTCTTTTTGGCTTGGGAAATTCTGAAAAGGAATGTTCGTTCGAACCCTAGGATTAAGAAAAAAAAACGTTAACGTGAGTCTCAAATGGAAATAAAACAAAGTTCTTAAGTTAATTACATTTTCCTTTTCCTCCAAGCTTTCTTCGTATCTCTTTCAATTTGGACTCCAACGACGTCTTCTACCCAAAACCGAAAGTAACTCGGAATTTTCCGATCTCTTCAATTGATCCAACCTTCAGCCTACTTTCCGACCCCATGTTGAGATACCTACAAATTAATCACGATTGTTACCTCATTGTATAATACTTTTAAACTTTCACTATTTTTTTCCTTCCCCTTAACATCTTATTCAAATGATAACATTCAAATTCGAAAAAAATTTATTGACACGTTATTGATTCTACGACTCTACAAAAAAATTTGTGTTCTTTGTCCTAAAGTTTATTTTATGATTTTTCGGTTAATCATGCACAAAAACGGAAAGAAAATACCTTTTTTTAGTATAAAATTTGCTTTTGGGATAGTAATGACAGTGTTAACATCTTGCTTGAATCTGTAAAATATCGCAAGTATAACTAGCAGCTGATTGGAGATTTTAAAATGGTGGGATTTTTAATGGAACTACAGAGCAGATATACAAAGTATCCGTGTTATCTATGTTTATGGGATAGCAGAGCGAATGCTAACGTTCATAGCCTGCAAGAACAGAATTTTGTGTCGGAAAACAAAACGTAACATTTGAGTCGATTGTTGAAGCGGAAAAAGTGTTAATGCACATTAAGTTAGGGTTGATGAAACAATTTATTAAAAAACTGGATGAAACTTCAGAAGCTTTTGGATATTTGAAAAAGTTTTTTCCGAAGTTATCAAAAGCAAAATTTAAACCTGGGGTTTTTGTTGGTCCGCAAATTAGACAAATTTTTGCCGATAAAAAATTTCCAACGTTACTGAATTGTACTCAAAAAGCGAGTTGGAACAGTTTTAAAGTAGTAGTTTCTGGATTTTTAGGAAATAACAAAGCTGAAAACTACGAAAAGTTAGTTGCGGATATACTACAAAATTTTATGGCCATGGGCTGCAGAATGTCTCTAAAAGTACATATGCTGCATGCTCATTTAGATAAATTTAACAACAACATATAGGAGCGTATTCAGAAGAGCAAGGAAAACGTTTCCATCAGGATATTGCGAGCACCAAATAACGTTATCAAGGCCAATACAATGAAAACATGATGGGAGACTATATTTGGGGTTTATTATGAGATAGTACTTATGAACAGAAAAGAACAAATAAAAGCATGCATTTTTAAATTATTTTCCACTTTTTTGTAAGTTATTTTAATTGTAAAACTTAATAAAAATAATAAACATATTTATTTGAATGGTTTCATCTTCAATTAAAATTTAAAACCACAGATTTTGAAAAATATCGTTCAATCAGTCTCTTAAATACAAAAGCAAACTTTTTCATGTCATATATTTTTTTTTCGTCTAATTACAACGTAAAATATCGAAATTTTATTCTTTAAAGTCAAAGTCAAATTTATTATATCATCCACTTTGATTTCAATGTTAAATGAATTGACAAAAAGGAATTGTTGATGCCTTTACGAGTTATCATGAACGATTGTCCAGTTACTGTTCTCTCAGACTATCCAGTAGGGCCTCCAGTATCTTTATCGAGTCTCTTTGATGAACCATTTTTATCATTCAAAAAAGAATTTTCATTCTGCTCTATAGTAACATCGTTCATTGTAGTCCAGGCAATAAAAGGGCCAAGTGCCAATTTTTGACCACCTTGCCAGAAACATGATATAAAGGTAATTCGACGACGCTGAATCGAATGGTGCTAATTTTTTTCCAATTAGATCAGGAGATCTTTGAGAAAAAGGGTAAAAAAGGGTAAAAGACGGCCGTATCTTAGAATCTAGGCATTAAATCGAAAAAAGTTTAAACAAAAGTTGTAGAGAATTGAAAAATACATAAAAAATGTTCTAAGGTGTATCTTCGTATT